GTCTTCCAAGTAGCTGGAACTACAGGCATGTGCCACCATGCCTGGCTAATTTTTTAATTTACTGTAGAGATGAGGTCTCACCAAGTTGCCCAGGCTGGTCTCAAACCCCTGGGCTCAGGCAGTCCTTTCATCTCGGCCTCCCAAAATGCTGGGATTATAGGCTTGAGTCACCACACCTGGCCTTTTTTTTTTAAAGGACAGATTCTTGCTGTTAGCCCAGGCTGGAGTACATGGAGTACAGTGGTGTGATCATATCTCACTGCAGTCTCAAACTCCTGGGTTCAAGCAATCCTCCTGCCTCAGCCTCACAAGTAGCTGAGACTACAGGTGTACATTAGCATGCCTCACTAATTTTTTAATTTTTGTAGAGAAGGGGGTCTTGCTTTGTTGTCCAGGTTAATCTCAAACTTCTAGCTTCAAGTGATCCGCCTCAGTTTCCCAAAGTGCTGGGATTACAGGAGTGAGCCACCATGCCGGACTTACCATTCCTATTTAAACACACACACACACACACACACACACACACACACACATTTATGTCTATATATACAAATAAATATTTTAAAGGATACAGAAAACAATAGAAAAAATGGTTATCTGTAGGGTGGGGAAGGGAAGTAGATGGCTAGGGGACAGACGTCAGAGGAAAACTCATTCTTTTTTTTTTTTTGAGTTGGAGTCTCACTCTGTCACCCAGACTGGAGAGCAGTGGCCGCTCCCGGCCACCGCAGCCTCGACCTGCTGGGCTCTGGCGATCCTTCCACCTCAGCCTCCCAAGTAGCTGAAACTACAGGCACACACTACCACGTCTGGCTAATTTTTGATTTATTGTAGAGATGAGATCTCGCCAAGTTGCCCAGGCGGGTCTCGAACCCCCAGGCTCAGGCAATCCCCTCACCTCAGCCTCCCAAAGTGCTGGGATTACAGGCTGAGTCACCAAGCCCGGCTGGAAACTCATTCTTTACTGAATATCCTTTTAGGCCTTCTTAACTTTGTACTGGGTTAATATTCAAAAATAAATAGGGTAGGGCATGGTTGCTCAAGTCTGTAATCCCAGCACCTTGGGAGGCCAAGGCAAGAGCTCAGGCATTTGATACCAGCTTGGGCAACTTGATGAGACCTTGTCTCAACAGTAAATAAAAAAATTAGCCAAGCACGGTAATGTGCACCTGTAGTTCCAGCTACTTGGAAGGCTAAGGTGGAAGGATCGCCTGAGCCCAGCAGGTTGAGGATGTGATGACTGTGAGCATGCCACTGCACTCCAGCCTGGGCAACAGAGTGAGACTCCAACTCAAAAACAAATAAATAAATAAATGAGCCTATTCATACTATCTTCGTGAGGGCTTCTGAGCAATATTATACGTGTAATAATTTTTTTCTTTGGCTGGACACAGCAGCTAATGCCTATAATCCCAGCACTTTGGGAGGTCAAGGTGGGAAGACTGCTTGAACACAGGAGTTCAAGACCAGCCTAGGCAACACAGTGTGACTTCATTTCTACAATAATAAAAAAAATTAGCCAAGTATGGTGGTGTACACCTGTAGTCCCAGCTACTTGGGAAGCTGAGGTAGAAGGGTCACTTGACCCCAGGATGTCAAGGCTGCCGTGAGCGTGGTTATACTGCTGCACTCCAACCTGGGCAACAGAGTGAAACCCTGACTCAAAAAAAGTCAACAACAAACATTTTCCCCCACTCAATGAGATTCAAACCCTTTTTTGCTACAATGAAGATAGCAAGTAGTCATCTAAGCCTAACTGACTATTCTGCAGATGGCTTTTTTTTTTTTTGAGTTGGAGTCTCACTCTGTCCCCCAGGCTGGAGTGCAATGGCACACTCAGAGTCACCGCAGCCTTGATCTCCTGGACTCAAGTGATCCTTCCACCTCAGCCTTCCAAGTAGCTGGAACCACAGGCGTGTGCCACCACACCTGGATAATTTTTTTATTTAATGTAGAAACAAGGTCTTGCCAAGTTGCTCAGGCTGGTCTCGAACCCCTGGGCTCAGGCAATCCTCTTGCCTCAGCCTCCCAAAGTGCTGGGATTACAGGCTTGAGCCATAGCACCTAGCCAGCTTCTTCTTCTTCTTCTTTTTGGTCAAATCACCCATGGAGAGCTGACCAGGTCCAGAAACAGTTGTAAATGCTCAATCACAGGGGCTGGATTCTACCCCTTCAGGGCCTGGAGCCAAGAATGGAGAGGCCATAGTTAGCTGGATAGATGTCCTAAGTCAGGAATCACTCACCCGGTCATAGGTGTCCCCTTCCAGTTCTCCCCATTTCCTGCCATCCCATGAGGTGACTCGAACTTGATTCCCATCCCTGATCTCTTGAGGTATGTAGCTGTGAAGGACCTTCTGAAGTCTGCCTGTTCTCGAAGTAGAGAGATCATTGGCAGCAAGATTGCCTGTGGAGATAAAGATATGTCAGAGTCGGGCCCAGTAAGACATCTCACCAGCAAGGGTGCTGATAGAGAGTCAAACCAATCTTCAACAATCCCAATCAATGCAGACTCCAGCAGCTGGGACATATATAACATAATAAATGTGGCATAGTACCGGTCAACCTAGAGTGGGATTACAAAGAAAAACACCTACATGGGCCATAAAGGTTAAGTAATAAATGAAACAGACCAGGTAAGAATATTTATAAAGAAATATGCTCTCTGTCACTATTTTGGAAACACATGTCTCTCTTCATCTTTGGTAAATACTATGGTTTATTTACCCAAAAATTATTCTCTTCTTATTCCTTAGTAATAGAACCCCAACTTTTAGGGAGGGCACAATGTACCTAAAAAAGACTACATTTCTCAGCCTTTCTTTTACAACTAAGTATGACTATGACTAAGTTTTGGTCAAATCGTTGTAGGCAGGAGTATCGTGTGGGAATTCTGGGAAGATGTTTTTTAAAAGCTGACACAACTGGGAGATGAAATGAGTCTCTTTCGCCCAATTATTTCCTCCTGACTTGAGTTTGAATATGATGGCTGGAGTTCCGACAGTCATTCTGTACATGAGGCAATCCTGAGGATGACACTAGCAATAAGATAGGTTGTAAAAGGAAAAAGGGAACTCAAGTCCCTGATGATTGCAGAGCCTCTTACCAGCCCTGGACTGTCTGTATCCCAGCTTCTCTTATGTAAAAAGAAAGATAATGTTTTCTTTTTCAAACCATTCAGTTAGGTTTTCTATTACAGGCGAACAACTCTAATTCTGACTTACCATCTACCTTTCCTTTTCGGTCTCTCTTTTTTTCCTCCTTTTTTTTGAGTTGGAGTCTCACTCTGTTGCCCAGGCTGGAGTGCAGTGGCACGCTCACAGTCACCGCAGTCTCGACTTGCTGGGCTCAGGTGATCCTTCCACCTCAGCCTTCCAAGTAACTAGAACCACAGATATGTGCTAACACGCTGGCTTATTTTTTTTATTTATTGTAGAGATGAGGTTTCACCAAGTTGCTTAGGCTGGTCTCAAAACCCTGGGCTCAGACAATCCTCTTGCCCCGGCCCCCCAAAGTGCTGGGATTATAGGTTGAGCCACCACACCTGGCCTTTCCTTTTCCCTTTACTGGCAGACATGAGTTCAAGAAATAGCTCACTCTGCTCTTAGTTCTACAATAAGAAAAATATTATTGCAAGCTTGATGATAAATGTCAACTGACATGTGGCCTCAGAGTCAAGGAGTGACAAGGATGGGTAGAAACTGCAGGGAAGAACAGGCGAGTATATACCTTATCTAATGGGAGTGAACCAGCTCAGTGTTCCCAAAAAGAAATATCCCCATTTTTTAGAGCATTCGAAGAAGTAAATACTATATTCTCTGCTCTAGAGGAATTTGCAGAAGCATATGGAAAAAGGAAAGATGGGTTTCAGTTTTGGCTCTACCACCAATCCTTATAAGATTTAAGTTATTTATTAAGTTATTATTAAGTTATTTAATCTCAACAAGCTGCTCAGTTTCTCCCTCCATAAAATGTAAGGGCTAGATTAGGTAAACTCTAAATTTCCTTCTTACACTGAAATTCTGTGCTCCTATCTTCTTAGGATCAAGAGTCAGTCACTTGGGTGAGGAGCTGGGATGAAGGTGGGGTAATGATAGTTCAGCACACTTTAGAAGAGTAACTCTCAATTACTTCTTCTTTGTCCTTCTTCCTCCTCTTAGTTCAAGTTCCTCATCTTCCATGTAACCCTATCCTTATTCATCTTCCTTCTGATCTATTTCCACAGCCCTCAGTCAGATCAGGACAGTCTAGTGTACAGGCTGGGCTTTTAGCACTGGACTAATTAATCCCATGCCAGCATCTTTCTCTTTTCTGGACTTCCAGAAGGTTAAGACCAAATGTGATACCTTTCTGGATCACCCATGCAGCTACCCATGAGGCTGGAGGCTAACTCAAACTGTATAGGCTGACTAATAAGAAATGGAAAAAAAGGGCCTAGGCCCATCAGAAGGGCTCAGGCACATGGCAAAAGAAGCCTCGCTGAGATCCAGGTTGGGTGTGGAAATCACGGTCTCTTGTGGATATTTCTCAGAGCCCCAAGGAAAAAAATTCTATTTTAAGGCAGGATGTCGGCCAGTGGATGGCAGAAGTGAGCTCTCTTCTGGACAGGACTGCTCTACTGAGATAAATAAGGCAGGGGCTTATCTCCAAAGAATTCATAATCTTGAAGAGGGAAAAGCTATACTTTCAGTAAAGCTCTAAGGCAAGGTTAACATGCAAGGCTGAAGCCCACGGTGTGGGAGCATAGAAGAGAGAAGCATCATTTCTGAACTGGCCAGTGGAGGTCATAAGATAAGACATCCAGGAGGTGGCACCATTGAGCTGAGATTAGAAAATCAAAGGCTTTAGACAGCCCAGTTGGAGTGGGGTGGGATGGAGAAATTCTAGAGGAAAATGTAATATGAGCTAAGGTTTATTAGAGTAGTGGAATATGGCTGAAGCACAGAAAGCTAGGGGAAGAGTCATATATGAAGTACATAAATGGTGGCTGCAGCCAGATCTTATCATTTTAGTTGGCAAGCTAAATAAACTTAAGTTAAATTTTATAGAAAAAGGAAACAGCTGAACGCAGTGGTTGAAGCCTGTAATCCCAGCACTTTGGGAAGCCGAGACGAGAGGACTGCCTAAGCTCAGGGGTTAGGGAAATGTGATGAGACCATGTCTCTATAATAAATCAAAAAATAAGCCAGGCGTGTCAGTGTGTGCCTATAGTTCCGGCAACTTTTTTGACACTCAGACTCAAAAAAAAAAAAAAAAAAAGAAAGGAAAAGGAAACATGAATAGGGGTACAAGTGTCATGAAACAGAGCCCTGCTCAGAGGCCTTGCTCAGCAATCTTTCTTGACCAACTGACAGAGAAATAAAGGGAATAATCACAAAGAGAAAAAAGATACAAGCTTAGCAGGCAAACTCTTGCCCCTCTCATCTCGGTCCTGAGACCAGACAGCCTACCATATTCAGTGTGTCCCTGACAAGGTGAGGTAAGGAGCTCTCTCTGCCCAAGACACCAGAACCCTGACTTACGGCAACAACCAGTCTGAAGCAATGCTAGTGTCTTTCCCCCAGGGGCTGCACACAGGTCAAGTACAGTGTCCCCCAGCTGCAGGCCGAGTGCCAGCACAGGCAGCAAGGAGGCAGCATCCATCAGATAGTAGTCCATGACACCCAGGCTGCCGGATCTGGAAGAAAGGCCAATTTATTGTCAAATACCAGGACAAGACAACCACAGGGAGTCAAGACCAACAAGTCCATGCCCTCAGGAGCCACTGAGATCCAATCAGTAAGAACTCATTTCTCAGACCCACACTGACTTATTCACTTACTCACTCATGCATCCACACAGCAGCTAGGCATGCTTTTATTTATTTATTTTTTTGACAGGGGTGTAAGAAAGCAGGAATTTATTGAGAGGACAGGAAAGCTCCTGGCAGTAGGAGGGGTCCCGAAGGGTTGCCCCAGACGCGCTTTTAAAACACAGATCAACTCACTCCAATCTAGCCATGTTAGCCACCATGCTGTTCCTAATAAAGTCACACATGCTTCTGTCTCTGGCTTTTGCAGTTGCTGTATCTTCTGCCTGCAACATTCATTGCTCAAATATCCTTGATTTGCTTCCTCACTTCTTTCAGGCATCTCCTCAAAAGTTACCTCAGGCTGTGCACAGTGGTTCACACCGATAATTCCAGCACTTTGGTAGGCCAAGGTGAGAGGACTGCCTGAGCCCACAGGTTCGAGACCAGCCTGGGCAACTTGGTGAGACCTCATCTCTACAATAAATCAAAAAATGAACTGGGCATCGTGGCATGTGCCTGTAGTTCCAGCTACTTGGAAGGCTGAGGCAGAAGGATCACCTGAGCCCGGCAGGTTGAGGCTGCAGTGGCCAGAAGCGTACCACTGCCCTCCAGCCTGGGTGACAGAGTGAGACTCCGACTCTAAAAAATAAAATAAAGAGCCGGGCTCGGTGGCTCAGCCTGTAATCCCGTGTCTTTGGGAGGCTGAGGTGAGTGGATTGCCTGAGCCCCCGGGTTCAAGACCCGCCTGGACAATGAGACTCATCTCTACAATAAATCAAAAAATCAACCGGGCGTGGTAGCACATGCCTGTAATTCCGGCTACTTGGAAGGCTGAGGCAGAAGGATCGCCGGAGCACAGAAGGTCGAGGCTGCGGTGGCCAGGAGCGGCCACTGCACTCCAGTCTGGGTGACAGAGTGAGACTACAACTCAAAATAAATAAATAAATAAATAAAACAAAATAAAATGAAATAAAATAAAATAAAGCCGGGCTCGGTGGCTCAGCCTGTAATCCCACGCCTTTGGGAGGCTGAGGTGAGTGGATTGTCTGAGCCTGCGGGTTTGAGACCTGCCTGGGCAACTTGGTGAGACCTCATCTCTACAATAAAATCAAAAATTAGCTGGGCGTGGTAGGGCGCACCTGTAGTTCCAGCTACTTGGAAGGCTGAGGCGGAAGGATTACCGGAGCCCAGCAGGTCGAGGCTGTGGTAGCCAGGAGCGGCCACTGCACTCCAGTCTGGGCGACAGAATGAGACTCCAACTCAAAAAAATAAAATAAAATAAAATAAAATAAAATTAGCAGGGCATGGTGGTACATGCTTGTAATCCTAGCTACTTGGGAGGCTGAGGTAGGAAAATTGCTTAAACCTAGAAGTTCAAGGCTACAGTCTCATCATTTCACTCCAGCCTGGGCAACAGAACAAGACCCTGACTCAAAATAAAATAAATTGGCTCCAATTCGCATCACCTTGTATCTCTCTACCCTGCATTTTTTTTTTTTTTTTTTGAGTTGG